AAAGAATCATCTTTGCAGGAGCAGGAGACCTCCTGGGAGCCCTTCAATGTTCTGTCACTTCCTGGTAGGCAAGGATGGACTCAATTTCTTTCCTACCACCAAGAAATCATCCTTCAAGTGACAGCACACAGTGGCAGAGGAGGTACATTCAATCCCCAGGGAGCTGCACCAGTGCTCATGAATGCTGGACTGGAAAGCCAGCCCTGCAACCCAGCTGAGCCTCCCCAGCTCAGCACTGTGCTCCACCTGTTCCAGCACAGCCGTGTTTCTGCTGGACTTGCAGAGCTTCATTTGGAACCAAGGGGGGAAAGAACTTTTGTGGTTACCAAAACAAGATTCAAACCAAAAGGATCCAAACCAAAAGGCAACTCACACTGCAGAGTTTGTCACTCACTGCTCCCAAGCCATCCAGTGGCCCTGACTCAGGCTCTTCTGAGCACCTCTGACTGACAACAGATTTTACACCTTTCCGAAGCCCCCAGTTCTGGCACACAAGCCCCAGTGCCACCCCAGCAGCACCAGCCCCACAGTAGCAGGCACTAAGGCAGCAGATCAGCTATCACCAACCCCACCCCACACCAGACACCTCCTTAGTGTGCCCTGCAGGGTGAGGCCCCACTTTCTGGAACTAAGGCAAAGATGGAATTTGCTTCATCTGCAAGCTATAAATCCTTTCCATCTTCCTGAGCCCAGCATAGATGGGAACAGCTGTGTGGCAGTGTTTCCCTAAGGCTCCAGCTCTGTTGAAGATGCTGAAATGCCAATATAAGTCTAAAAGCTGGAGAGCAAGAGAGAAGTAAGTGGCAGGAAAAGGAGGAAAGGCAATCACAGAAAGGTTTGGATTGGAAAGACCTTGAAAAATAATACAATCCAAAGCCCCTGCCATCAGCTGGAATATCTTTCACTAAATCAGGCTGCTCAAAGCCCTGTCCAACCTGATCCTGAGCACTTTAAATGATGGGACATCCACTGCTCTTAAATGAAACAAAATTAATACCAACTCCTCCGAAGAAAAATCTTAGTTTCTTTAAGAGATTTTTGGTGTGGGACAAAACCCATTGTGCACACTGCTGGACAGGGTCTGCTGAGGAAAAGAGGGAGAGGGCAGGCAATACCAAAGACATGAGCATGGAGAAAGAAGCCAAATATATAAGAAGCAAACTGTCAGGACCCATGGCTGGTTGATGCCTCATCCATCTCAGGACTCATCTTCCTCCAGCATGAACAGAAGATGCTGTCAAACTTCAGACACATCTAGCTCCATCCAAAGACCACCCCAGACCCCAGTTAAACTCTTAGAGCTACTGCTCAGACATCTGGACACTTAATTTTGATTTCCAGCCTAACTCCTCAGCAGCTACACTTCCTGCCAATTCACAATTGTCCACCTTGTAGATAAACATCTTCCCCAAGCTTGAACAGCTCTCCTCTCCTCTCTTTGGGGGGTAAATACGGAGCTCTGTAAGATGATGAGCACCAGCTTGCCAGGAACTGTGCTGCTCACACCTCCCAGGACCAGGCAAGGTTAATCCCCTGCAAAGCATCACAGTGGGGAGTGGCAGCACTGAATCCTCCAGAAACACAGCCCAGACCACAGCAGGTGCTGGAAGGACCTGTACAAACAGGCTGTGCCTGCCTGCACGGCAGAGACTGTGCAGAATGCTAAGCAGGGCTCAGGCCTTATTGATGATGATTACCATTATGATCATTACTTCTATCACTGCTGCAGTCATACCCAGGGGCCCCCAGGCAGATCCCTGCAAGAGCAAGACATGGTCTCTGCTTTGATGAGTGGATAAATCTGGTGTGAAACAAGCTGCAGCAACTCAGCATGGCAAACAGCACGGAGGGGGGCTGGCAGCACCAGGAAAATTGCTACTTCAGTGGTTTGAACACATGCCTTGAGTGCTTCAAATCACAGTAAAATGTTCCTGTTTATAAACTGTTGGCTGCTGCCATTTCACTTTGTTTCAGTCATGTAACCATTTCTAACCTTCTGTTAAAGTTCCATTAAGCAGCTTTTAATCAGCACCTTCTGGCTGAGTTTTGTGCAGGTATCAGGAAATAAAAAGTAAAACTGAAGTCAAGGTGACACTAAGGAAATGCTTTGGTAGGAGATGGGAGGGAGAGGGGGATACACACAGCACCTGCTCCACAGTCTTTCACTCCAGTGTCTTTCCCCTCTGCCTTCAATATGATCAAGAAATAAAACCACTAATGTGATCAGCTGAACAGACCCTGTACGTACAAGCAACACACCTACAAAATAATAATAAGAACCACAAGGCCAGAGGATGCACATCATAAACATTAACAGCAATGAGCTGAAGAAATTACCAGGAACAGAATTTGCCAGTGTCCCAGGGAGATTCCAGAACTACAAAGGCTGCAGGGAGCCAACTCCAGTGACCCTGCTGGGGCAGCCAAGGCTGTGAGGAGCACAGCCACTTCTTGACCAATGATAGCAGCAGGACAACCCTTCCCCAGAGCAGTGCTGTTGCTCCCACTCATCTCCAGCAGAAGGATGCATGGGAAGCCCATGTGCCTCCAGATATGCAGCTTTGGCAGGGTAGGAGGGATGAAAACACATCAGGTTTGAGAGGATGCTGCCACTCCCCTACCTACAGATTCACAGCTAACCAGGTGGGAAAGATCTGTGTCCAACAGAGGACAAACTGAGGCAAAATGGCAGTGCCCCTGTAAGCAGGGAACCAGTGGGGCCTGGAACCATCTCCCAGGCTGAATTATTGCTGCAGAAACCAGGGAGGTCATTGAAAAAACAATTAGGGAGCCTGGAAGAGAGAAGGGAGCCGTAGCAAGTGAAGGAAGTACATTGGGCTAACTATTTCTCACCCCAGCCCTTGCCTGGCAGATCCCAGAAGCCTCATGTTCTCAGGGTTATATAGGGATGGTAATGGCTTTGCACGGGCTGCTGACAGCAACCAGCAGCGTGTCACCTTCTGCAAGAGGATTAGCTAAAGCTGCAGGCATGTTGTCACATCACTAAGCCTACCTCTGGCCAGGTCTTGGCCAAGCCTTAGCTCTTCCAGGCCTGTCAGATAATGATGGGATCTCTAAAAGCCCAGTGTCAGACAAGGCAAGGGACTGGCACTGACAGAGTCCCCTGGGAGCTCCCAAAGGTCTCCTGGTTCCCAGCAATGCCTGACTGCTTGCAGGACCAGGAACAATGAGAAATGTTTGAGTGCCTTGTCTCCCCTTCTCAGCCTGCAGTGCCTGTTCTGCTCCTTGGGAAAACTTCCTTCCACACATGGCAAGAAACACAGGACTTTTTTAGAAGGTGATGATGTTCCTGAGCCACATACCATCAGACCTACAATCACTAAAACACTGACAATTAAGACATACTGACCTTTTTCACACAAAAAATCCTGACTGATCAAGAACAGATTTCCTAGGAAAAAAAGGGCCATATTCCATGATTATTTTTGATTGCAAGAGAATTAGAAAATAAGAATTTCCACTTGACTTGATGGTGACATTTTCTTTGCATTTCAGAAATGGATTATTTTTTACTTTTTAAATTCCAAATGTCTTTCCCTTCCTATTTCTCACTAAGTTTTGCTATGGAAGGCAGCAGAACAGGTGCATATGACTTCGCTTCTCCCCCTCCAACACATTTTCTTTTTTTGTTCTGAATTCTCCGAAGTTAGAGCGACAGACAAAAAATACCCAAAACACTCATCAGGCTTTTCCAACTTTCCTATAAAATGTCCTTAACTTTAGAAAATCACTCAAGTGTAAGACTTAATATGCTGCTTTGTTTTTCTTTCTCTTTTCCATTACTCTGTAGTGTTCCTGAAAACGTATACGCTTCCAAAAGATAGAGCAGAAAGAGGAAAAAATATACAGGTGATATTTATCTTATTGTACTCAACATAAAAGAGGAAAAAGCAGTGAAGGAACAATGTAGAGCATACCAAACCAAATACAAAAGCTGGTTTGGCCATTTTCTTGAGTACAGCTGAGCTTTTCTTTGGAGAAGGGTTGGAGAGGAGGAGGGGAAGATCTTCCCCCCATTTCTACCTACAGTAAATCACAAGAAATAGAAATGTTCTGCTTGGCCAGAATAGCTACCACTCTCCCCTGAAATCCTTGGCCTTCACTTGTTTCTGCTGCAGTTCCATCACAAACTCTCCATTGTCAGCCAGGGGCATCCCAGGTGCTCCAGTTTGCAGGTTTCCAGTTGCAAGTTCCAGGGGTGCTCCCAGCCATGCACTCCTGCTCCTGGAAACTCACTCCCCTCTGTGTGTCCACAAGCCAGGAACCCAAATCCCACCCTTGCTGCTCAACTTCATCCAAGAGGAGGACTTTCACAGCAAGAAGTAGAGGGAGGCTGACACACAGTGACTGGCAGGCATTTGTTTCGCTGACATAACAGATCCAGAAACCATTGCAATGGTCATCTAAATATCTTCCCTACTATTTCATATTCAAGAGTGTTCCATAGTAGAGGGAGAAAACTAAACTGAAGTAAAACTATAACAATCCATCCAGCACACTGGAGAGAAAACACTTCCAGACTCACTGGCCGAATTTATACCCTACCACTTCCAATTATACTTATTTGCCACAGATCAACCCCTTGTTTGTAAAGCAATCCCCTGTGCAGGGGTGAAAGAACCAATAATGAAAAGGGTTGCTTGAGCCCAAGCTCCTTGAATCATTATGTGCCAGCAGGGACCAAACAAGCAAAATGCCTTGAAAAGTACCAGTCCTGGAGATAGGACATCTGCTTTCAACTAGAACTGAGAAAGATCTGTCCCCATGTCCCCCCCCAGCCCTGCACTTCTCAGGAGGGTAGGTAGCCAGAGCAAGGGGAAGAGATACCTTAACCTCCTTCTTGATTTGAATGACCTGAGAAAGGCAGGCTCTCACAAACTCACCAACAAAGAGCAAACAAAATCAAGAACGGCCTGCGTTAGCAGTCAGTTCCTCTGAACGAGGCAGTTGTGGTTCCTTCCTAGAAAATAAATACTCACCATCACCTCCTGGTTGCTTGTATGGGTTGTACTTTGGTTTGGGGGCGACCACAGGTGCAAACTTCTTTGGGGTCTGCTGGGTGGACACGGAGATGCTGGGAGTGCCAAAGGTGTGCGTGGTCTCCATCCTTGCAGCAACGTGGCCAACAGGCTCGTTGGTACTCTTGGGGGGCAGCCAGGATGGGTGAGACATGCTTCAGGTCTGAGGAGACACAGAGAGAGTCACATTTACATTAGGAGTTTAGGCTGGGGAAGTAACAGCTGCAATCCTACTATTTTTCTGGTTTATGAAATCAATCTTACAAAACCCTTCAAAATAAGTTTAACTGGTGCATGCTTAACTTTAAATATGTTGTTCCTAATACATAGGACTTGAGATGCAAATTTGTTTTTCTCTCCCCAGCAGGTGAGAATTACTGATCAGGCTATTGTTGGTACCTGCAATAATCATTGCTATTTTCCTCTTCAAACCAGAGCAGAGACAGGTTGATACCCTGAAGCAGCCCATCAATCCCACCCTGCATTCAGCACAGTAGTGATGTATTTGCCTTTCCCTGTTAGGCCTTTTTGAGTACATTAATGTACAACAGTGCAGGTGCTCTGGGGACAAGCCTAGTCACAGACAGGCACACACACTTCCAAAATACACTTTTAGCACTTTTTCACATGTCATTTAGGACCCCATGCCCCAGTGATTTTCATTCAGACTTTTAAGAAAACAGATTTCAGAAGTAGCTAATCATTCTTGATGCCTCCATTTCTGAATGCCCAGCTTAAGACATTTTAAAAGCATGTCAATTTTGAATAAATGCCAGAATCTCACAACCCCTGACAACCAGGCTCCTTTTAGACTTGTGTAACAAAAAACAGAGGCAGCCCAAATCATTACTTATTTATGAAAATCTTGGCTTTGGCCTCTTAAAAGCCTACATCACTTTTGAGAACTGGGTTTGGATGCTGCTGAAAATGCTGCCCATAAAAATCCTGTTAATTCCAATGAACAAGTGTTTTTCACCACACACAAACCACACTCGCTGGGTAGCCATGATAGTCCTGCTGTACCATCAGATGGTCCAATGGAGCTGGATTTGAGATTTGATGGAGAAATGAAGATCCCACAGAGACAAAAGTCAATGGTAATTTTGCAGCTCTTGAGCACCCTGTTGCTCCTGCCCATGCACTGCTTTGGTATCAGAACCCCTTAAGGCTACCAAAACCTGTGACCCCATCAGCAAAGATTTGATTTCATCATGGAAAAGGATCAGTGCCAGACACAGGATCAAGATCTCCACATGGCAGTGCAAGGTGAGCACCTCCAGTTAAGAGCAATGACTGTTAAAACTGATGGATACACAAGTGTGCTTATTCCTACCAGGAAATTTACTTCAAAAAACAGCTTCCTGCTTGAGGAGTAATTTCTACTTTAAGCCCCAATGTCTGACCCAACACTAGGAGGTGACAATTTTTGATCATCAACCACCTGCATCACTCCTTGTGTTAGAGACAGGAACTGGCAGGTGCCAAGCACCAGTCCCAACACTTCTGTCTCTTCCTGGCCATGCAGCCTGACTGCTCGATGTGCAGACAGTGGTTTCACAATTCCTACCACCAGTAAGCGAACCTGCTGCACTAGGCCTCCAATACCAGTGAAAGGAAGGCACTGGAGCTGCCTAGAAATGAGGCAGACAGAAGCATGGCAGGAGCAGTCCGGAGATGGACCCAAGGCTGAGCTGCAAGGACACGACTTTTCTCGCTCACAGGCCTGCAGTCCAACCCACAGTAAGAGTGCAGAGCATCCTTGTGAAAGAAAGAAGTGAAAGGCAGGTCCTCCCCACAGGGCAGGAGAGGAGACCAGTCCCAATGGGTCTGGTTGGGCACACAAACCACGGTCCCACTGCCAGGCCCTTCCCAGCACCAACATCAGCTCCTATGGACCTGGAAAATGACTGCCACTCCCGCAGTAAGATTCACCTGCACTGCTGTCTCCTCCTCCTACATCCTTCAAAACCGTAAAAGCAGCAATAAAACTCAGACAACTATCTAGGTCCTAAGAGCAGAAAGCAATGAGGGCAGTCAGCCTTAAGAGCTAAACAGGACGAGCCTGCACTCTGCAGAGTTATTACATCCAAAGATGACTGTACCTTACCCATTGCTAAAAGCATCCTGGAGTTTAATTCTGACAGGTTTTCAGCCTCTGGCTTGACATCCAATATGAAAGAGACTCCTGCTACAATGAAGCACCCTCAGACCCTGGACATTAACTCCATGCTGATTCAAAGCTAAAGAAAAAAAATCCCATTACTGACTAGATTATCACCATTCCTGTTCTGGAATGTTCCTTACCCACCCCCAGGACCATGCCTTGGTCCCACTGAACCTTCATGGTCTGCTGGGCTGATGACAGGGATGGGTTGTGTGATGCACAAACCAAGAATATCTGCTCCAGTAGCCAGGTTGCACAGCACTGAGCACGGCTGAAGGCAAAGAGAGAATTTCAACAAATGAGCTTATAAAGCAGACTGCTCCTATGGACAGCTTGGGAGCAGGGAGACCACAGTGCTGTAACTCAGCTGCTGACTGCAAGCTGGCACACAGCATCCTCTCAGCTAACCTCTAACGCCTTTGTTTTGGCCATGGTGGTATTTTCTAATTGTTTCCCCATTAGCCTTTTCTCTTCCTCTTTCTCCCCATCTCATTTTCTGTTATGCATATACTGCCACTCGTTTTTGCTATCTGTGCCCTGACAGTGTTTTCAGCAAGTTCCCTTTTCCTCATCTGTTCCAGCCTCAGCTCCCCAGACTCAATTAAATTTAGCCTAACTACTCTGCAAGATCACAGAAAAAGAAAATGAATTAATTTCTTTTTAAAAGCTGAAGCTAAACTTCTGAGCTTGCTATTATTTTCCCTCCATTTTGGCTGGTAAAAGGCCACAAACAAGGAAAAATGTAAGGGACAGTGGCTTACAGACAAGCACAGCCCACCTTTCAGCAGACCTTTCCATGCTGGAGCACCATGGCTAATCCAGAGTCACCAGTGTTCTCTCTCCACTCCTTGCAATACTGCCTGGCTTTCCATCAGGAGCTTCTCTGGAGCAGAACATTTGTGATGTGCACAACGAACCAAAATAGCACAGGCAAAACTGGGCCTAACTAATTCCCTTACTCTAAACTTACTCTTACCCACGTCACTGCCTGAGTGTCACTGTGGTGCCTTGCTTGGACAGGAACACCCAATAGGCAACAGCAGAGCTTTTCTGGCTAGCCAGCAACACAGCCAGCAAACACACGTTTCACTTTTGAGCTATCTTCTTCCATTAAAAGTTATTTTTTACTGCAATGCTAACCTACAGATTAAATCTACAGCTGCCCCCACATTTCTGCTCCAAGTAAGAAATTTGTCAGGCACTGTTTGCATTCATTGAGCCCCTTCCTGGCAAACCTCGGTAGATCCAGCCACGCAACAGTTAACTCAGCAAGGCTGGAAAAGCCTTTGTCAGCAGAGCCCATGTCCCTGGGAATGCTCCCAGAGGGACAGACACCTCTTGCTCCTCTGTCAGTGCCAAACCTCCGCCTTGGCTGAAGCCTTCTGCACGTCTGCCTGTCACCCTCCCTCAGCCATCCTTGGTCATGCACAGCTCACAGCTCCGTTCCTGATCTGACTGCTACAGGCTTTTCCTGTGACTCTTTACTCACTGACCACTCTGGCAACACCCCCTTCCCAAATTCACTGCCTCATCCCCACCAGAAAATCCCTTAAATCTTCTCTGGGTCACTGTTTGAAAGCCTCTCATTGATCATCTTGACTAACACTGAACCATCCCAAATCACCACTCTGCAAAGCTTCAGCTGAGCTAAAGATTATTTGTTATAAAGCATGTGTAGCCTCAAGTGAAACAATGCAAGTGCTGGAGAACCCAACACAGCATTAGGTACATTGTTTGGACAAAAAATTAGGCACCATAATCACAGCTGCTTCTTTATGTCTGGCTTAAAATTTAGCTAGATCCACTTTCAACCATTGCATTTTGTAATGCTCCAGTCATCTGCATTACAGACTTGCCTCTCCTCCTTATGTAGATTCTTTCAGAATGCAGCCAGATCATTGCTGAAATCAAACCAAAGCATTTAAATTAAGTATCAATTAAACTCCCTGTAAAGGGCAGATTTCTCTTGATTCTTTCATGTATATTTACTCAGAACTCTCTTCAATTTTCCAACTACCTTTTCTAAAATGGTGGCTGATGGCATAAGACCATTTTTAAGAATAGTAACTTAAAATAGAAGAGGTAAAATGATGAATAATATCAAAAACAAAAACCTGACTGAAATCAGCTGTGGACGCCTGAGGTTCTGTTATCCTTCCTTCCTTGGAAGCATTAGTCATCACCTACTTTTGGAGGCAGAGGATAAGACCAGACTAACCATGATAAATAGCATTAAGAGAGAAGAGTGAAATCACACTGCATAAATAAGGCAAACAGTGGGCTCTGGTTCTATCATTAGGAGGATCTTAATGCTGTAAGTTCAGAAAATTCTAACCATGAAAGAATACACCACAGCAGAGGAACTGGAATCCACGAATCCCAAGCTGAGACCGCATTATCTAAAAATGTCAGACCAGGAATATCAATAGCAGATAATACCATGCAGTAATAACAGCCTGACAAGGTTTTTTCACTGCCTTTTTCTTTATTCAAATGTGTGGGCATAAGAGCTTGTTTTTGCTTTTAATTACAGGATGTCATTCACCTTTGAGAAGCGAAGGTAAAAAACTGAGGGTTTCAAGTCAATTTCTCCTTACATGTGATAAGCAATGGAAGGGTAGAGTACCAATTTGTCTACTTTTGAAATGGTACGTACATTCATCTCTGAGACAGGCTGACTTTTCTGTGATTAGACTGTACCCAAATAAATCTCCATTTCATTTTCATATTTGTAACATGGACCAAACACTCCTTGGATGTTGATGGACTTCGCCAAGACAGAAGATTTTGTCCCCAAGTTAATTAAGCTAATGCTTCGTAGCGGGTAGCAACAGTATTTAACAAAAAATGAGCAACAACCGTCTGTGCTTACAGACTGTCTGCTCTGCCTTCCATCCCACGCCTTCCTAAATTCACTGCCTTCATGTAGGTCTATGGTGTTCTGTCTTAGTATCACCCATGCACAGTGAACCATAACTCCTAAGGCCAAG